GAGGTCTCTGCAGGCCTTTGTGCAGCATGACGATCATCGTCTAAATTATGACGGGTCTGCGTTTGCTCAAAAGTTTCAGCAGCCCTTTGAGCTGCGTGACGCTCAGCATCTAAAGTCCGACGGATCTGTGAATCCTTTTCCGATTCCAGTGATCTAGCAAGTTTAGCAGCCCGAGCTCTGCTAGAGCTATAAGCTAAACTGGACTTTCGTTTGCGAGTCATCGTAGAAAAACAAAAATAAAATGAATCGAACAAAACAGATGTACAGATTGAGATTTATTATCATAAAAAAAACCTTTAATAAGCAGCTACGTAGTAAAAATGATGCGCTCACCGCACGGCGATGTGTTTAAGTCACGTTTAAATGGAAAAAAAGAAACTAAGAAATTAAATTATCAATACTTATTTACAGCCAATGCATAAAAAGAGTAGGAGGTAAGTAGGTTAGGTTAGTTTTACACCTACTAGGACTTATTAGATTAATTCAAAAAAGGAAATAAAAGCAAATCGGATTTTTTTAAAGTAACGGAAACTATCTTACCTACTATTTACTATGAACTAAAAGATCCCGAAATATTAATTATGTAAAAAATTAGTTTACAGGACCTAACTAATAAAAAATACTTACTTAAAAAATTATACGAAACAATAAAATTATTTTACTGGATCGAAAAATGTAATTCTCTGTAGCGCAAATTTCTCTATTCGCATGCGTCCGACAACGACGTCTGCCCTCACGTGTCTGCCCGTTCGGGTAGGCATAGTTAGATTCGTGCGCTCCCCCACCACACGACAGCGCCGTTGCCTGCCGCCACACTTCGGCGAATGTGCGCGACGACGACCGACGGCAGCGGCGGCGATGCAGAGTATTCGTTAAAAGGAACTTTAACTTCAAAAGCCAAATTTTTTTTTAACTTGATACACCCAAAACTTCTAAATATCATGTTCCTAGGTTCAGTGGTTAAGATTTTGTATACAAAAAGTTTGGCTTCGTAGTTCCCAATCCCAAACAACTTTTCACCCCCCCTTTTAACCCCTTACAACCCTCTTTTCGCAATAAAAAGTAGCCTATGTCCTTTCTCAGGGTCTAGACCATCTGTATACCAAATTTCATTCAAATCCGTTCAGTAGTTTTGGCGTGAAAGAGTAACAGACAGACAGACAGATAGAGTTCTTTCGCATTTATAATATTAGTCTGTAAGTCTGTATAACATTTTTCTTTATTTAAATACATTTTGTCCCAGTGACATAGGCTATATTTTATCCCGATAAATCAATTTCGCCCGTACAATGCCCGGGGGGATCACTAGTAAGTATAATATAATATTATAGATGCGAAAGTGAGTTTGTTTGTTGCGCTTACGTGCCCTAATAGCTAAATCGAATATAATGAATTCCCATATAGAAGTAGATGGGAACTTGGTTCTTAGCTACAACATCGCAATACTTATAGGCGTAGGGTGATGAAAGTGGTGATTTACCTATAAAAATTTACATTATTTACTTTGAATTTTGCAGAATTATTACAAAACCAATATTATCGCGAGCTGATTAATAAATACAGGGATTCCAATAAGTATGTACTTACTAGCGAAAAATGGTTTCTTTGTCATTATATTAAGTAAACCTTTTTTGTAACATTAAGTAATATCGTTAAAAAAAATAAAAAACAGTAAAATTCTGAGTTTTTCATTAGAATTCAATAATCATAAATACCTATTATGATAATATATTTTTCATCATTTAATAAGAAGGAACTGTATCACAGTTTTAATGTTAGTACTTCGTATAGGATCAGATACTGCGAATACCCCATTTTTTTTCTTTTACATAGTACACCGCGCTATCACTTTGTGATCGTTGTAACTTTTTAAATATTTGTCGAAATGACATAGTGTAAAAAGCAAAGTTTATCATCTTTAAATATCAAAAGCGATTAAAGTATTTGTTTTGATAAAAAATGATTTGTTAATACAAAATGTGCATTTTGGAAATAGATATTAAATAATATTTTAGTTTTGATTCACTATTTTAGCGTTAATGACTTACACATTAAAAATAGATATATGGTGTCACGGACTTTTTTTTAGAACTATTTAAGAGATACATTTTCACTTTACATTACATTCATGTAACTTTTATTGTTTTTGCAGTGCAGGCCAAAATGGCTCGCAGATGGGATATTTTTTTCCGTCTTATGTGACACTTATTGCTATATATTGGCCAATTCACTCAATAACTACATAAATTATTATACATATGTAATTATCATATATGAGCTATATTACTGTTAAGTTTCATTAAAATCCATTCAGTATTTTTTAGGTGAAAGAGTAACAAAGATCCATACAAACGTAAGATTGAAATTAAAAGCGTAAGTGGTTAATATACAACTTTAAAGCGTTGTAGATCCTAAACAATCATATAAAATGAAAATTGGTGTTAGGAACCTAAATATGATTTTTGATTATCTAGACAGTGATACCCCACTCGACATATTTTGTCAACTTATTTTTTTTACTTCGTCACAATATGGCGCCTTATTTTGCCCATATTGAATTTTGATTACTATCATATCTTTAGTAGCACTTTCATGATTGAGACGAATCGATTGATGTATGAATCATCAAAATCGGTCCAGGCGTTTGGTCTCTAGTGTGCCACAAAGGAACAAACATACATAATATATAGACTGTTAAACACATAACCCTGTCTGCGCGTCGCGCTTCGCGCTCTTGCATCGCGCAGCCGGGTAAATAAAACAAAGATTTAACTGCTAAAATTAAAGTAATTACTTACTTAATTATTTACGCTGCCTACCTAAAACTCGAACTCTAACTAGAATTCATCATTCAGACAGACGTGCATTGAATAAAATTCATCATTCAGACAGACACGGGCGTAGCCAGGGGGAGGGTTTTAGGGGTTCAAACCCCCCCCCCCCCCCCCCGAAAAGTTAAGATATCAACATCAATAATATCAAAATAAGGAGAGGCGAGCGGCATTACTTATTTAATTACTAATTATTACACTAATAATGTATTTTGGATTCGCCCTCTACTACCCGCCGCCGCGCGTCGTCATTTATCCTATCGCATTCGGTAACCTTCGTATATTTTCGTTTCGTATCGGCACGGTATTGTTATATATCCCCACCCACAATATCCCACACGCGCTCCCACTCTCGGTAGTGCTACCCGAAAGGAGTACATCTGTTGTCAAAGCAGAACTTAAAGTGTGGAAAGCAGTTGTGATTATCACCTACTCCAAAATCTGTTTCGGAATGCTTAAATATGTCAAAAATTATATCCAAATATTTACACGTTGTTACAAATATTGCCTGCCATACCCGTTTCCACTGCTTCACCGGAAAGGACGTTTTCAAGCCTGCGGAGACTTAAAAACTACTTGCGGAACACAACGAGTAATAAAAACAGACTGAACTGCTTGGCTCTCATGAATATTTACTATGGGATAGAAATTGATGTGAATGAAGTAGTGGATATATTTAAAAAGAAAAGCAGAAGATTAATTCTGCTGTAAACAAAACCTTCAACTGAACCTTCTGTTTCTTTTTAGGGTTCCGTACCTCAAAAGGAAAAAATGGTACCCTTATAGGATCACTTCGTTGTCCGTCCGCCCGTCTGTCCGTCTGTCAAGACCATTTTTCTCAGGAACGCGTGGAGGTATCAAACTGAAATTCATATCTAACACTCATGTCTACTGTCCGCTGCGGGCGCTGTGAAAATAATATTTTTTTTTTGCTTTAGCCAAAGCAATCAAAAGATACAGCCGTTTATGCCGCAAATTTCTGCAAATTTTCGAAACTCGCACGGGAATCAAAACCTACAGAGTACTTTCCCGTGAACTTAGAATCTTGAAATTGTGGTAGGTACGAAATAACGTCTTATAGTACAGATAAAGGGAAAATTGCGAAAACCATAAATTTTTAGTTACATCATATAATAAAAATATTTTTGAAAGTTTTAAATTTTACTACCTCTTTTCTTATGAACGCGTAGAGGTATTGAATTGAGTTTGTACGGAACCCTCGGTGCGCGAGTCCGACTCGCACTTGGCCGGTTTTTTTTTTTACATTACGGTATTTATTACGGTTTTAGTTCAACTACTAAAAATAGATGAAGCTCATATCACAAAATAAATACAATTGGGTTGTATGTGTGAGGAATCATTTGCCAGGCCAGTGTTATGTAGGGACACGATATCGAATAGAAAGTATCGATACTGTACTCATGAGTAGTATCGGTAAAAAAGTATCGTACTCGTAAAAGTATCGAAACAAAAGTATCGATACTTCAAAGTATCGAGTACATTTCATAGAGCCTTATCGGAGCCCCTGTGACCTGATGAGCAGTATTGACAGTATTATAAATAAAGTGGTAAATAACGAAAAAGATAGGTATAAGTTTTCTTATCTATTGTCACGTAACCCAAAAAGCTTGGGATTGGCGGAGCCTAAAATGACGTCACACGCAAGTAAACTTCCGGTCAAAGTGACATTACATTGTATCGTTTGACGTTTTAATAACAGTCGTATGTCGTCACACACTAGTAAGACGCCATATTGTCCAGAGAAAAGTTTTCGCGGCAACTTGAAAATGGAGTTTTTGATTTGGTTATTTTTACTCAAATACACGACGGAATGATGAATATCCATCCTTTCCTTTTTACGGACTCCATAAACATTAGTCAATAATGTGAGATCGTTGCCTAAAACTCGTCAAATACCCTATGGAACGTTTTAGAAGGTTTGCTATGATTTAACAAGATGGCGTTGCAATCAATATGAGGCGCTTATCCAAATTTTTAAAGGTATCGATACTTGCCAAAAAGTACTCATTTAGTAAAAGTATCGAATACAAAGTATCGAGTACAAAAGTATCGGTATCGAAAGGAAAAGTACTCGATACCACAAAGTATCGATACTTTTTTCGTGTCCCTAGTGTTATGTCACTGTCAGTGTTGTTTTGACACGGTGAGGTTTGTTTTGACTTTTCATACTCAAGTCGTTTTCGTTTTCAGATACAATTTTGTTATTGTTTAGATTGAGTTTGTTAGCATCAAAAAATGGAAAAAGACCTCGACAGGGTGATTGAAGAGATTATGTCCACGCCGAACGTCAGTGGTTGTTTAGTAGCTGATCACCAAGGTCTGTGCCTTGCAGCGACGGGCTCCGCGCACGTCGATGCAGCGGGCGTGATAGTGGCGATATCAGAGCAGGCTTGCAAGATACAGCCTAATCTGAAACCGCCCACAGTTTGCCTGGAAACAGACAAAAAGCAGTGTTTGATTCAGCGACATGGTACCATTACAGGAGCTATTTACAAGCTGAAAGTCTAGTATGTTGAAGTTCATTTTCCTCTTTTTTGATCGCTATCACTAAATATTTTTAGCTATGAATTGAAATAAATCTTTTGGTACTAATAATAAATCAATAATTTTGTATGTAATTTTATCATCAGGTCTGTCTGACATTATAAAATTGGTGTGAATTAATTGCCCCATTAAAATTTCGTTAAACATGTAAATTATGTGTTTGTCTAGGAAGTCTAAAATCATTCTACAATGTTTCAAATTGTTTTATTTGGTTTTTCAGGTACCTGCACAACCTTGTTTAGCTGACAACAAGACTAAAGCTACAAATTATAACTATCACTTCTCTGATAGTGAAACTAAAAGAGTAAAATATCAAATCACCTGTATATAAATTTTTCACTATTAAATAGAAACTCTTTTGTCAAAGTACGAAGCTTACAGTTTTGTGAGGGTCAGATCTTATTCTTTAAATATCATGGCTGCGGTAGCATAATGGTCAGTGAATTCGCCCGCATAGCGAAGGGTGCTGGTTCGAGTCCCATCTGCTGCCTGGCCCGCATGGAATTATTTCTAGTAATATATTCTTTAAAATAAATATTATCTTTTTGATAGTTATTTATTTCAATTAAACCAAAATGTTATTTCAATTTATATTTTATCTTCATTTTGTGAAACTATTACTTTCCTTGATCAGTATTTAGCCAGATTTAGCTTTTGTTCTGTAATAGACCTTTGTCAATCGATCATTTGTCTTAACGCGGGTCAATCATGACCCACTCATTTCATTTGATTTTTGGGTTAAAATGATTTGATCATTTGGGTCACAGTACATTGGATTGTTGGACAGAGTGAAGAATGCGAGCGGAGCGAGTTATTGCTAGATGAAATCATGTCACCGGAGCAATTAATTTGATTTGATCTCAAAAACGTAACTCCCGACCTAAGTCGCTTTTACCTATGCAATATTTGGGGTACGCTACCATAATGCCTGCTCCAAAGGTTATTTATAAGTCTCGTTCTATATCTTTGTTCCCTTATGAGCTATGATTATAAAATTTGCTATAGTGTGGGCACTATTAGAGCACTACTTTCTATGAAAATTTGGTGGGCTAACAATAAGCTATTTTCGAGAATGATGCGTGATGAATGAGAACCTTATTCATCACGCTAGCTTACACAATAAAAACAGTTATTTGTTTTTTAAACTAAAGAGGAACATTTTTTTTATATTGCACTAATTAGTTTCTACTTACGCCCTATTTTTTTTTTTTTTTTTATATAGTTAGGTCCGACAAATGACTCCACCCCACCTGATGTTAAGTGAAGGTGAAGTCCAGACGCGAAGATAGCTGATACAGCAGTTCTACCTGCCACACCAGCCATCCTCACCCTGCCGGCCTGCATGTTGCTTCTTCACGCCTTTTTTAAAGGATCCCAGGTTGTAAGAGGGAGGGAACACGTGAGCGGGCAGAGCATTCCATTTACGGATAGTGCGACAAAGAAATGAGTCACCAAATTTCTTTGTACGCGTTGGAATTGTGGACACAGTAAAACGGTGACAACGTAGGCCAGCGCGCGTGGTCCTCTGAAGGAAAGGGAAAGGTGGGATAAGAGAGAATAACTCCTCAGAACACTTGCCGTGGTACAAACGATAGAACGCGCTTAGTGACGCCACGTCACGGCGTAATTGAAGAGGCTGCAGGGTTTAGTCACCTCCTCATCGCCTATGATGCGGATCGCGCGCCGCTGTAACCTATCCAAAGCATCGAGCAAGTACTCGGCGGAGCCATCCCAGAGGTGCGAGCAATATTCGACGCAGGACCGCACTTGCGTTTTGTACAACAAGCACAGTTGATCGGGCGTGAAAAAACGCCGCACCTTGTTCAGGACTCCGAGTTTGCGTAAAGCTGTTTTGATCACGGTTTCGATGTAGTCCTTTGGATTCAGGTCTGAGCGAACTTCCATACCGAGCATGGAAATGTTGCTCTGCAGCGGTAGTGTTGTGCCCTGAAGAGATGGAAGGGAAAGGAATGGCGATGTTTTTGCCGTGAAAGCGCAAGCCTGAGTTTTCTTGGCATTGAACCCAACCAAGCTCCTGGTACCCCATTCGGAAATGTGGTCCAAAGCCTGATTGAGTTCAATGACAAGATTTTCCCGTTTCTCCCTGGTTACTGCATGCCCAGCCGCTGCTTGTCCGAGATACCCCGCATGCACTGTACTATCGTCTGCATAGCAATGAATATTCCCAAGAGGAATCAGGTCATTGATATGCAGCAGAAAGAGAGTGGGGGATAGGACGGAGCCCTGGGGAACGCCGGCATTCACTGACATGAACCGCGAACTGCTACCATCCGTAAGGACACGAATTCTACGCTCATGCAGGAAGTCAGCTACCCAAGAACAGAACTGGGCTGGCAGACCGTATGCCGAAAGCTTGGAGAGCAGGCTTTTGTGCCAGACCCTGTCGAACGCCTTGGCAATGTCAAGGCTGATAGCCAACGACTCGCCACGCTTGTCGATAGCCTCACCCCAGATATGAGTTAAGTACGCTAGAAGATCACCCGTCGATCGTTTCGGTCTAAATCCATATTGACGATCATTAATCAGGGAGTGATCCTCTAGGTAGCGGGTCAGATGGTTATTAAGGACCTTTTCTAGAACTTTACATAAAACTGAGGTGACTGCTATTGGCCGATAGTTTGCCAGGTCTGAGCGATCCCCTTTTTTGGGCACCGGTTGCACGTTAGCATCTCTCCAAGTCTCCGGCACACGCCCCAAAGAATACGAGCATTGGTACAAGCGCGTGAGCACGGGAGACAACTCCGCTGCACATTTTTTAGGTACTACTGCTGGGATGCCATCAGGTCCACTAGCTTTCCGGACGTCGAGTGATTGCAACTCGGCACGAACCTCACGCTTCCTGATTTTAATATCAGGCATCGTTGTGCCACAGTGAGGTAATGATGGTGGCAGTGCATTGCAATCATAGATTCGGGAGTTAGCCGCAAAGAGTTTTGCCAGTAAATCGGCTTTCTCCTGCGGCTTATGAGCTAGTGTTCCGTCTGGGCATCTTAGAGGTGGCAGCGAGGGCTGGCAGAAGTTTTTTTGCACGGCCTTGGCCAAACGCCAGTAGCTACGGGAGCCCGCAGGATGCGTTATAAGTTCCTGGCCAACACGTGCAACACGCTGGGCATCCGCTCTGATGTAAACCTTCTTACAGGCCTTGGAAGCAGAATTGTAGGCTGCTTTGAGTGAATCGACCCCGGGATCCTTGAGAGCGCGGCCTCTGATCCAAGCACGATATGCCGCTTGCTTACGCGAAGCAGCTTCAGCACAGTCGTGATTGAACCAGAGGTTACGTGTGCCCTTACTGATGAGATCAGAATGAGGAATATAGTATTCCATACCCATTATGATCTCCTCAGTAATGGCAACGGCACTGCCCGATAGGTCCCTGTCACTGAAGCAGCGCTGCTTCCAAGGGACGGACGCAAAGTAATCACTCATACCGTCCCAATCTGCCGACCCATAATGCCAGATACGGCGCTTGACCACTGCTGGACTAGGAGGCTTGGCCTGTGGTGCTTTGTCAGATATCAGGCAGTGGTCGGACGAGCCCAGGGGGGCTCTTACCACAACCTGATAGCCCTGTGGATGGGTCGTGAGCAGAAGGTCCAGTAAAGAAGGCGGTTGACTTGGAATATCTGGGATCCTGGTGGGCTGATCAACCAGTTGCTTCAAGTCATGCGTGAGAGCGAATGTGTGAGCAGAGATCCCTGCATGGTCAGTTTTGGAAGAACTTAACCACAAATTGTGGTGAGCATTAAAGTCCCCCAAAAACACCAATTCTGCATTGGGAAATCGCTCCTGCGCGTCATCTGCTGCCCGACTAAGGTGTTCAAAAAGTCGAGTTGTCTCAACATCGCCGGTGTGGGATCTGTAGAGGCACACGTAGACTCTGGCCCGGGGGCCAGATACGGCGCTTGACCACTGCTGGACTAGGAGGCTTGGCCTGTGGTGCTTTGTCAGATATCAGGCAGTGGTCGGACGAGCCCAGGGGGGCTCTTACCACAACCTGATAGCCCTGTGGATGGGTCGTGAGCAGAAGGTCCAGTAAAGAAGGCGGTTGACTTGGAATATCTGGGATCCTGGTGGGCTGATCAACCAGTTGCTTCAAGTCATGCGTGAGAGCGAATGTGTGAGCAGAGATCCCTGCATGGTCAGTTTTGGAAGAACTTAACCACAAATTGTGGTGAGCATTAAAGTCCCCCAAAAACACCAATTCTGCATTGGGAAATCGCTCCTGCGCGTCATCTGCTGCCCGACTAAGGTGTTCAAAAAGTCGAGTTGTCTCAACATCGCCGGTGTGGGATCTGTAGAGGCACACGTAGACTCTGGCCCGGGGGCCAGAGTCGACGTGTACCCCCAGCATGGAGAAGGAGGGATCTTCCAAGCAGCGGAGACGGCGACAACAAACATCCGCCCGAACATACAGGCATACACCGGCTTTCGCTTTGAAGGACTCTTCAAGCACGTAGCCGGGATAATTAAGGTAGCCTGTGTCAGCAGGCGGAAGTATTTGTGTCTCCGTCAGGAACAACAATGCTGGCCGTGCTGTCTCGAGATGGTGGTGGACAGCGTTGAGGTTAGAGTGGAGTCCGCGTATGTTGCAGAACTCGACCTCAAACAGCGTTGAAGGCGTGGGGGTGTGCACCGCTGTACGTCCAAACTTTGTTATTGAGGCTGCCATGGTGGAAGTGAAAAAAAAAGAAAACGCCGTCGCGAAGAGTCCGGGCAAATAAGGGGGGTTTGTCTTCCCGATTGACTGCCTGCAGTGGAGATGCGCCGACCCGCCGGACGGAAGGGGCCCCCCCCCCCCCCCCCCCCCCGGAAGTGGCCGCCGGGACCCCACGCCCCGGTCACCAACCGGCACGACGGTCCACCCCGAGATTATGCGTGACATGATGGGGCAGCCTCGCGAACTGGTTAGGAACGCTTGGGCCCCTGTACTGTGCCACGGGCGGCCAGCGGGACAGCCGTTTCTACGGGTCTCCCTGGCCGACGGGTCGATGCAGTCCTCCCGGCATCGGTTCCACGGATGCCTCCCCTGGACCGAATCCTTCGCGACAACTTCCACTCGAGCTCTGGTTGTACGCTGGCTGACCCCGAAACGCGCGAGAAGCACTTCACGGGTTTTTCACCATGCGCACGGTGGTAACAAACCAGGCGGGTGTTAGGCACCCTACCACCAGAAGAGCGGATGGAAGCTCCGACATCCCTTAGTCGCTTCTTACGACACCCACGGGAAGAAAAGGGGCGGTGAGTTGTATTCTTTCTCCGTCACCGCACGGATCGAGGAATTTATTAGTATAAGTAACAACCTCGAACTCGACGTGCTGTAGGTACGCTCTAGCATGACGGACACAATTCTACTCAATTATTTCTAGTTGAAAATTTATTTATGTTTAAAAATATAATAAAATTACTTAAATTAATAAAATTACTTTGTTTCGGACACCACTACATTAAGACCCAGCAACCTTCTCCTTCCCACCACTA